ATAGAACAAAATGAAAACTACCACACATCCAGTGGTGATGAGCACCCAGGGGAAAATCAAGCAGGGAAGGAAACACTGTACCCGGGGTTGGGAGTAGGGGACAGGAAATAACTTCAAAAAGGGGGTCAGCAGGGAGAGACACCTGGAGCACCTAGGGAAAGAATGGTCCATGCAGTGGGAAAGCCAGTGCAAAGGCCCTGGGGCAGCACATGCAAGCTGTTTCAGGAATGTGGAGCCACAGTGGCTAGGAGGGTGTGTGAGGAAGGTGGAGTCAGAGGGGAGTCCCAGGGAGCCAGGGGAGGGCTTGACCACTTTTTCTCAGAGCAGTGGGAGCCCCAGAAAAGACTCAGTAGGGGAACAGCAGGGCTGACAGGCAGTTCTGAGGAGTCCCCTTGGCTGCCCATGGAGGAGAATTCTGCAGCTGCAGGGGCTTGGGCACCAGCAGGGAGGCGCGGTGGTGGCGCAGGGCCCGAGAAGGGCTGGGAGCCCGGGTCTGATGCAAGGGTTGCTGCCAGGACCCACAGAGGCAGAAGCAGCAGGCAAGGCCGGGTGGCACGGGCAGAGGCGCCCCCCACCTTCGTGCCTCCAGGAGCCAGGCAGGAAGTGGCGGTCAGGCGGCCCAGCCTGGAAGGCCAACTCGTCTCCAGCCTGCAGCCCACAGGCCCCACCCCGCCCCCTGCGGGTCCCTGCAGCCGCTGGCAGGGACAGCGCCCGCCCGGAATGTGGGCCTCCAGGCCTGGCCGGACAGCGCCCAGGGCCCCACAGGGCGGGAGTAGCCCAGCCCCTGCCCTGCCCACACGCGGCATCTCCGCGGCCCACTGAGCAGGGCAAGTGGCTGTTGCAGCCCAGCCCAGAGGCGAGACCCCCTGCCTGTCCTCCCTGGCTGAGCCTGCGCTGCGCGTTCTGACCCCTCCTGCAGCCACTCATGGCCCAACCCGAGGGGATCTCCACAGGCCGCCTCCCTCCAGCCCCACCACGCAGGCCGGGGCCCAGGCAGGCCTCTCTGCCGCCCAGGCAGCCACTGCTCCAGACGTGAAGCCATACGGCCGAAAAAGTGCTGGCTGTGAGTCCAGGGCCGGGGCGTCTCCTGCCCCCGAGTCCCCGCATCTGCACAGTCCCCTCACCCCCCTCATTCATTCCTTCCTCGTAACAGGTGTTTACTGGGCGCGTACTCCCGGCGGGTCCTGTGCTGGGGGCTGGGTGTGCAGCAGTGAACAAAACAGCCCAAACCCCCACCTAGCGATGGTGACATTCCCCTGGAAGGAGGGGGACAAGAAACAGGATAAACAAGCGGGATGATTTCTAGGGTGAGTGATAAGTTCTAGGAAGAAAGTGAAATGGCATGAGCGAAAAGGAATGGAGGGGTAGCTTGGGAGCAAAGAAAGCGCCAGAGGAAAGCTGCAGAGGGCATGTGCAAAGGCCCTGGGGCTCCAGCCAAGCTGGTGCATTGTGGCACAGGGGTGAGGTCACTGTGGCTGCAGAGGAGTGGGGAGGGGAGAGCATGGTGGCCCCAGAGATAAGGGCAGCCTGGGGCAGAGTGCAGATCCTGCAGCGCCTCAGAGCCTCTGTGGAAACTTTTATTTCTGCTCTGAGAGAGGTGAGAGGCATGCAGGGCTCAGACCAGAGGATGGGTGGATGGGCCGTGGGTTCCAGCACTGTCCCTTGGACTCAGCGGGGCAGAGGCAGAGGGGCCGTGAGGAGGACGGAAAATGTTCCAGCAGGGGAGGGCGGCACGGCTGGGAGGGCGGCCCCAGGAGGCGGGTGGAGCTTCCTGGCGGGCCAGGCCATGGGGTCAGAGGGGAGGCCCTGTGCTGGCTGTGAGGCAAGGAATGCTCCCCACACAGGTGAAAGAGGGGTGCCCGGTCCCCGCACCTGACTCAAGCCCAGAGTCTGAGCACGGCTCCCTGAGGCCAGGCCTGGCATCTGGGACCTGAGAGACGAGGGGCGCCATGCCCAGCCTCACGCCAGGGCCAGGCGGCATCGGCCCTCAACCCTGGCACCCAGCCCCCGTTGGGCCTCACGATCAGCCGGAGGTTCAGGCAGGGGGTGGGGCATGGGACACCCCGCGTCTTCCCGCCCGGCCCAGCCAGCTCCCCTCGGCCCCCGTCACCTCTGCTCCTCGCCAACCCCGGAGGCGTTGGGAGGCGACACCGCCGTCCCTCGTCCCTCTCGGCCGCGCTGTCATCTCCTGCTCCCAGACCTCTCTGGTCACCCGGTTCCCCTGTTGTAAATTCCCTTCTCATAGGTGGAGGGACTTGGGGTCCAAGACACGGGGCGGGCCCCGAGGTCACTTGCGAGGTCGGCAGCGGCGAGATTGAAGCTCACCTGAGTCAGAGCTCTCAGGCCCCCGCTGCTGGCCCCAGGACCGGGCCAAGGCGAGGAGTGTCTGGGAGGTGACCCCAAAACACCACCGGGAGGAAGGCCCTGAGCAAAGGGCGAGCAGGTCGGCCCAGGAGGGCAGCCAGGGCTCTGTCCCCAGCAGCCGTGAGAGCTCATCCCCGAGAGTGGGGAGGACAAGGCCCCCAGCAGACAGGTTCAGGCCAGGGCCCCCTTCTGTCCCCAGAGCCTTCTGTCCCCCTCTGTTCTCCACACTGCCTGCCTGGGCACTGCCTCGGACCCTCTGACCCAGAAACAAGAGCCTGGAAGCCCGGGCCGGAGCAGACAGGGAAACTGAGGCCCCAGGGCACCACACGCCTTGACTGCCCAGCAGAGGGCAGCTCGACGCGTCTCGCTCCCAGGCCTCCCAGCTCCAGAGCAGCCCTTGCCAGAGGGGCGAGCAGTGACCTTCGATGGGACAGAGCTGAACTGCACAACCTTGGGCAGGTCCCTCCACCCCTCAGAGCTTCAGTCTCCTCATTAGAAGCCAGGCGTAGTAGCACACGCCTGTAATCCTAACACTCAGGAAGCTGAGGCAGGAGGATCGCCAGTTGGTGGCCAGCATAGGCAACTTAGTGAGTGCTGTGACTGCACGAGCGAGTGCCCTGCTCGTGGAATCCGTGCCAATAAATGGTAGCTATGACTGTCATCGCTGTCATCTCCGTGACCACCTTTGCCCATGCCCGCTCTGTTGGGACGAGATAATGGCTAGAGGGCCGCTCCAATGTCCTGGGCCCCTCTACTTCTTGCTCAACGCCTCCTGCACTTTGGGGAAACAGAGGAGAAGGAAGGGGCAGGGGCCAGGCGGGCCTGTGAGTGGTAACCGCGGGCAATGACCTGTCCACCCACCCGCCTGCCCATTCTTCACGGGGACGCCTGGTCTTGCACAACACAGGAAGGGGGTGGCCTGGACCCCGTGTCCACCCGGCTGCAGACAGGATGGGCAAGGGAGGCCCAGCCAGGCTTCCTGTGTGCTGGGCAAAAGGAGAAGTGAGGTCCGAGGTCACAGGGACATCCCACAGCCACCTCCCCTCCTGGCCCAACTGTGCTGCTGCCCCTGGCTCAGAGCCGCCGGTTCAAATCCAGCCCCGCCACCCAGCAGCTACACAACACGGGAGCACAGCTGAGGCCTCTGCACCCACCACTGCGGGCAAGCAGGAAAGCTGCCCCTGAGCTCCCAGCCGCTCGCGGACATGGTCACCATCTTCATTTCACAGACAGGGAAACTGAGGCATGGAGTATTCTCAGACTGTAGCTACTATGCCTGAGGACAGGGGCACCTCCGCAGGGGACAGGGCTCAGACCTAGTGCGTGCTGGAGACACAAAGAGCGCTCCCTGCACCCTGCCCTCCCTCCTGGCCCGCAGCAGGCATTACTAATCAATGCAGGTGCCCCTTCCCTAGAGCCCAGATGCCGCCCCAGCCCTACTCTGCACCCCATCCAGCCGCACGCCCAGGGCCTCGGTGTGGGAGGAAGGGACGTGCCGGGCCCAGCCAGCAACAACCCAGGTCAGGAAAAGTTGCCCAGGAGAGAGGCCAGCCTCCAGCAGGCCCGCTGGGCCCTGCTCTGCGATCATGGTCTCCTTTCCAACGTATCTTCCGCGGCCAGGACACCGGGGGACAAACCTGGCCTGAAGAAGGCAGCTCCACACGGGCCTCGGCCATGGGTTGCAAAGTGCCCCGCGGACAGCTAAGGGGGGAGGATGGGGTGCAAGGGCAGGGACAAGGTGTAAAGCCGGGGTGGGGGAGCAGAGGGCAGGAGACGGGCTGCCTAGGGAGGAGGGAAGCGGCGGCGGTGGGGAAAGTCCAGTGACCCAGAGCCCCGGGAAGGGTGGGGTAAGAGGAAAAATGAAAGCAAATTCGAGCCTTGGGCCCCTGCCAGCCCCAGCCACCCGCCCCTGGGTCACTGCCTCGGCCCAGGCCAAGCCTGGACATCTGAGGTCACCCCTAGCACACTCGCGATCTTCCTTCTCCCCTGTCCCCTCCCTACCGCCAGAGTGCAACCCTCCTGCTCTAAAGCCCCAGGACCGCCCGACCCCCGCTCATCTCCGCCGCCACCTCCTCCGCCATCCCTGCCGTCCCTCCGTTGCTCGGGCCTCTGAGTGGCATGGCCAGCCAGGGTGCCAGCTCTGTCTGTTCCTCGAACGTGGCCGCCATGGTCCCCGCCAGGCCCTTCCCTGGCCGCTCCCCCCAGGTTTGCCCTAGGTGACTCCATCCGATGCCCGCCGCCTCCTCCCAGAGTCCCACCTGCCGTGCCCAGCGACCCCCCAGGGGGTGGGCTTTGGGGTACAGAGACATCTCTGAAGTATCTCCTTACTGTCACCCCTGGGGACCCTCCAGCACTGGACCCAGGCTGACCTTGGGCACCAGAAACTGCAGATGCCCAATGTCACCGAATTTGCACAGAACCGGTGTCACCCTCTCGTGTACTCTAAGTCAGTGACAGCGAACCTTTCAGAGCTTTCAGTGATAACAAACAGCCCGCTGCGGCACGCGTGCCCTCGGTGTGCCACCCCTGCTCGAAAGCATCTCTAGGTGGCAGACCCTACCAGACACCTGGAGATGCCGCCACCGTTGCTGTTGCTCCGTATTGTTTCGGGAAAATGACAAGAAAAAAGGCTGTGCGAGGTTTCAAAAATATATTCCTTCCAAGTTTGGTTGGAACCGTAGATCCAGGACTTGCAGACCCAGAAGGCTGACTGTGCTTTCGACTTTGTTGTCAACCTAGACGTGATTTCAGCTTCACCTTGGTCACTGCTGTGTACCCCGCACACGGCACACCGGAAATGTTCAGTAGGTATTTATCTAAAGAGACTGAGAGGATGCAGTTTAAATCACCTAGAAAGCCCTCCCTGGGACCGTCACGTTCCCGTGTGCTGTCCCTCCCAGGAAAATAGTTCTTCCTCACATGCCAACCCTCCACCAGTGCCTGGTCCTAGGGAGAACTCTGATTTCAGTGGGAAAGGTGATAGATTGGTGATGTCTGCCCCAGCCCAGGCATGGTGGCAGGGCAGCTTCTGCATTACTATCTCTATAGTAGAAACACAGCGGGTGCTTAATAATACTTGTTAAATGTCCATGTGTGAGTTCAAATTACCTACCCCTTTCAGAAGAAAAGCATCTTTAGCTTAACTAGACAACCAGCCATGGCTGCCGGCTAGCCCTACTGGGAGAACCTACTGTGTGCTGACCCTGCAAACACCGAGGACAGGCTCTGGTCCTCCGCTTAGAAAAGAGGAAGTCGAGGTCCTGGTGGGGCTCGGTGGAAGTCACCAGCTGGGCCCAGCTGGCCCCAAAGTCCTCCAGGCGCCTGGCCTCACAGCCTCGGGCCAGGGTGCGGCCTCCCCGGCTCCTGCCCTCCCCCCAGCCCGGGCATCCCCAGCCCGGGTACAGGGGATGAAGGCAGGCGGCCTCTGCTTCCCCTTTGGGCCCTGTCACAGGGCTGTGGTTAAACGGAAGCCTATCCCGGGGGGCGGGCCCCAGGGCCCCACCCTCCCCATTCCCAGCCCAGTCTCTTCTGAGCTGAGCAGGGGCCTTCAGAGCCCCCTTCCTCTTTTCTCGGGGTGGGACAGAGCAGGCCGGGCCATGGGAAGACCTCAGAGATTCACTTTCCCTTGTTCACGCAAGGCTCCGCCCTAGCACCTTCGCGAGATGGCTCATGAGGGAGGCTGAGGCAGGGTGCAAGAAGCAGCCAGCACCCAAAAAAGCCTAGGCAACAATTGTCACATCCAGGCCAGGAAGGCAGAGATGGGTAGAGGTAATCTATGCCCGACTCCCCGCAACGCACTCCTCAGCATAAGGACCAGGGAGGTAATGCTCCCTGGCAGTCAGCCCAGTCCTTTCCTCCCTTCCTTACTCCTCACTCACCCCTCACCTCAAAGCCCCAGGATCTTCTCTTCTGCCCCATTGCACCCCAAGACCCTTGCACATGCCAAGCCCTCCTGCTGGAACACTGGTCCCTCCCTTTCTCATCCACCTGGTCTCTGCTCACCCTCTGTTCTCAGCTCAACTTCTTTAAGAAAACCTTCTGGACCACCCTGCTCACGCCAGCCTCCTACCCCTCATGATAAGCCACACACCACCTTGTCTCATCACAGGCACAAACCAGCACTTCTGGGGATGGTTTGGTTACCACCTGTCACCCTCGATGGGCTGGAAGCTTCCTGTGGGCCGGGACCACTGTTTCCCCTGCCTCAGGGCCAGCCCTTCACTCACATTGCTGGATGAATGAATGAAAAATGCAGAATACATGAAGGGAGAAGTAAGTCACACACCCAGACACCCCGGGGAGAGGGCACCCGCTCTGTCCACCTAGGTTTAGGGAGTCAAGACTCCGGTGCTTTGACAGCAAAAGTAAAAGGAGAGTCCCAGTGTAGGGAGGGGAACCGGGGCCTGGTGGTCCCCGCAGCCTGGAGCTCTGCTTAAACGCAGCCCTACCTCTGCAGCACACGCCCCCACCCACAAGCAGCTGAGGTGTGCTGGTGCCGGGCCCAGGGACGGGCGGAATTTATGGAGACGCATGACGGGGGCAGGAAGCTCGTGTCCTTCCTGTGGAATCCCCAAGGGGAACTTGGCCACGCGATTGCCACCTTATGGCAGCGTGAGCCTGGCGCTCCCACGCTGCGGCACCGCCCAGGGTGTTCTGTCTGAGCAACAGACTTAAACAACAATACATAAACAAACACTGGAGGAGACTTTCCCGGAGGGAGCTCCGAGGATGGACTGAGCTTGGTAAATTCACCTCTGCAAGTGGCCCTTCTCAGTGGCTGAAGTCGCCCGCACCTGTGGGCTGCTCGCTGCCCTGGCTCTGAGCCACGTGGGCTCAGCGAGTCTCCTGGTAGCCCGAGGCACCCCCTGCATCCTCCAGGGAGCCTAGCCCGTTGCCCACAGGCAGGGGGCACCTCGGAACCTGGACAGCATCCTCACAGACCCAGCCACAGGAGGAGCCGGAGACGCTGCCACCAGGGCTCTGTGCACCTACTATGTGCCAGGCCCATGGAGCAAGAAGCAGCCGGCTGCTGGGGTTGCCTCTGAGGTGGGCTGGGGAGGTGGGACGCTCGGCTGAACCCTGCGCTGGTAAATACACAATCATCCTGTCCCTCTGTGCTGGCAGGGCCGCCTCCAGGCCCCATAGATACCAAACTCTGTGGACCCGAAGTCCCCTGCTCCGAACTGCTGCCTTGTTACATGAAGCTAGGGTAGGCGGCACCCCCTGAAACCCACAAGATGAGTCTGCCACCTACCACACCGTAACCGCCGTGCAGATGGTTAACACACTGGGTGGTTTAGGGCATCGAGGCAGGAGAGAAAGTCCGAAGACAGAGGCAAACTCGCTCCACCGCAGTGGGCTGGATCCGCGGGTACCGAGGGCTGACTGCGCAGGAAGCGAGCGCTCAGCAGAAAAATAACTGGGGTGTGGACAGAGGGCCTGGGACGATCAAAGCCCAGTTTAAGTGAGGAGTTGGGCAGACGTGGAGAGGTCAGGAGAAAGCACACCCAGCAGAGGCAGCAACAGGGGAGAGGTAAAAGGGCTTGACATGTTTGGGGGAGCGGGAAGGCTGCTCCCCCTCTGCCACATCTTCCACGCCCAACCAGGGGCCCCCCAAGGGCCTGCATCAGTCCACACTGCTGCCCAGCTCACAGGCTGTGCGCCAGGGCCGGGAGTGCAGGACCTGTCCGGCAGGGCGGGGCCGGAGAGGGTGGGGAGGAGGCTTCCGCCGGGAGGGGGCAGGCCGTGGGCGGGGGTCCACGGCTCCAGGTCCAGAGTCAGGGCTGCAGGGCCGCGGGGCTTTCTGAGCCGGGAGGACACTGGCGTCGCTGACTCAGGACTCAATGCGCAGCCTTACGCACATGAGGAGCCCGTGCAGCGGCACAGCGCCCTCTGTGGCTGTGGTGCATGGACACGAACCCTGATGGAGGCAGCACAGGGGCCGCTGGGCAGGCCCGGGGAGGACGGAGCACGCCCAGGCAACCTAGGAGTCAGGTTCAGGGAGACTCTCACGGTGGCAGAGCCAGCATGACCAGTGTCTTCCAAGCCCACATTGCTTTGGGACAGTCAGAGAGGCTGGATCCCAAGTGCTCTAAGTCAGCCATGGGAATTTCTTTCTGGGTCTGATTCCATTATCCCATGGGACACCAGGGGATATCTGCTGGGACGTACAACAGTGTCATCCTTCTCCATAAAAGAGTGAGATCCTGGAGTAGTAAAATCCCTTTTGCTGTCCGCCACTTCTCTTTCAAGGTAGAATGTGATATGGGACATGATATCTGGTGCCACAGCAGCTGTGGGGGAGCTCATGAGGAGAAAGGCAGTGAAGAGATGCCAGCCTAGAGCCCAGAAACAGCCCCAGGTCAGACTTCTTGCTGTCAGGTGTAGTTAAAAGGTTTTCCCACTCTGGTCATAGAAGATGACCTCGCTGAGACAAGAGGAGCACAGAGGTGACGCCTGAAACGGTTGGAAATGGAGAGGGAGAGGGAGAAGGCTGAGAAGCAGTCAAAAGCATCCAGGGCCCGGGTCTGCAGGCACAGCGGCTCCAAAGCAGGAGGCACCAAGCGGCAAAGAGCAGGGGCTCACGGCACAAGCGCTGCTGCTCCCGGAGCGTCCACCTGCGCCAAGCACACGTCCAGGCCCCGGGCACTCACCACTCCACATCACCCTCATGCTGCCCAGGCCGCTCCACCTGCTGCTGCCTGCCCACTTGCAGCCATCCGAGGCCCCGCTGAGTCCCTCCGTCCTCGGGGGAGCAGGCGCTCACTCCAAAGCCTGCTTTCTGCAGTTCTTCGTCCCCGTGTGGCAAGCACCTGCCTCACTTCCCACCGGGTAACGAGCACTGACCACGGCCCTGCTCCTGTGTGCGGGGACCAGGAAAGGCCCTCGGCCCAGGGCTGGGCCTTTGTGGGGCCAATGAGCACAACCAGGCTGTGGGCCATCGCGGCTGTCGCTTACACAGGCCTGGCCCTGCCCTGCTGGAGCCCCGAGTCCACCCAGGTCCAGGAGCCAAGGAGCCCAGAGGGCCGGGCCGGAGCTGGAGGAGGCAGAGTGCGCAGGCCTCCTGGCCGCTGCCACCCTCCTTGTGGTCCCTGCCTCGCCCCACCCGGGCCACCGCCATCTCTGAGGCCCCATTGTTCCCGCGTGGCTCAGCTCCAGGCCTGGACCCGCCCGGGCACCCTTCCCACCATCCCACGAGCCCAGGCCCAGGGCCCTCAGCTCCCTGCTCGGCCACTTCCCGGCCCTGCAACCTAGGCGCTTCCCCTCTGCCACCTGGGGGTAAACAGGGTGACAAGACCCTGCGAGTCTGGGGATGGCAGGGTCCCCGGCATGTAGTGTAGATCGGGGCAGCCTGGTCTCATGCCCTCTGTCTGCCATGAGCCTGGAGCAGAGATGCAGAGCCAGGCTGGGTAGAGCACGGAAGGGGAGGCCCAGCCCAGGACCCTGGTTCCAACCTGCTGTCTGATCGCGGGCAGGCTGTGGATGTCTCCGAGCCCCAAAGTGAGGGGAAGAAGCAGCCGAGTCCCCCCCACAGGAAGCAAAGGGGAGGGGTGGAGCCAAGTTTTCTTTTCTTTTCTTTTTTTATTTTCAGCACAAAGGGCTGGAATGAAAACCAGCCGCAGACAGAGGACCCCATTGTGAAGGCGCCCAAGACTCCGGGGCAGGCGGAAGAGCAGCGTCCTGGGTGTTGGGCTGGGTAAACAGAGGCTGGAGCACTGGCCGGAGAAACTGACAGGCAGGGGACGGGAGGCCCAGCCCAGCTTCGGTCTCTGGGGGCCGATGGGCAGCCCACCTGCCCCTCTGAGCCTCAGGGTCCACCTGCAAAGCGGGGGCAGTGCGGCTGGTTCCTTTAGGAAGGGTGCGTCGAGAGGGCCTCGGAGAGGTTTCTCTCCCTCCCTCACCCGGGCTGAGTCCAGCCCGCCACTCACTGGTGTGTGACTTGTGGGTAGACACTGCCCCTCTCTGTGCCTCAGCTTCCCCCATCAGGAAGTTGGAAACCGTAATACGACCAGCGTACTGAGAAAACCAAGCAGAGGGAAGGGCAGCGATGGTTCTTGTCGGGGGTCCTCTTCTTACCGTGTCTCCTGCACTCGGCAGCTGTGTGCCGGGGCAGGGGCAGCAGGAACTCTCACAGAAGGACTTTGGGAGGGGACTCACGGCAGGAGGCCGGGGTCCGGGATGCCTCCCCACCCTGTGAGCCTCCCAGGTACTGGGCCCAGCGCGGTGGAGCCCGGCTGCTGGAGGAGGCAGTTTCCCACCTGATTACAAGATCTGTGATGGGGGAACCTGAGCACATCAGGGTGGACTTCCTGGAGGAAGCGGTCATGATCAGAAATGACCGCTCTTGCTCGTCGTGGTACTGTGCTGAGCACTGTTCTCTGCACAGCAGTCCCGGCAGAAGTCTTTCTTCTCACACACCCATTCTACAGAGATGGTCAGCGATGTCCCGTAGGCTGCCGAGGTCACAAGCAAAGAGACTGCAGAGCTGAAGTGCAAAGAGCAAAGTGTCGCATGGCCCCGGGACAGTGCCCTCGGATCTGCCTGCGGCTTCTGTCACCCGCTGAAATGAGCCCAGCACAGCCTCTGTGAAGCCTCCCCTCCTCCGCCTCCGCCCCGGCGTGGCCCCTACTCTGCTACAGGCAGGGAGGGCGGGACGGCCTCTCCTGAGTGCTCGAGCTCACCTCACTGGGTCCACACAGCTGCACCGGCCGTGACTTCCTGGAGGAGGAACGGGAGGCCGGGCTGTGCAGGATTTGGGGCGCTCACGGAAGGAAGGAACTGGGGGTCGGCTTGAGGGTACAGAGTGTCCCTGGACCTCTGTCTGCCCTCTGTGAAATGGGGACCACACCGTCCTCTTGCTCTGGACCGGGCAAAGGAGGGAGGGGTCGGTCTGTCAGGCCTCCTGTCATTGTCACTTATATTGTCATTGCTGTCTTGGGTCCACGCCTAGCAGCCCCTTCATGCTTCCTGCAATGAAACCGGTCTGCCAAGGTCTCAGCCCAGGGCCCTGATCATCGTTCCTTTAATCGCATTCCCTGGGGAAAGGAAAACGCCCCTGGAGCCCCCCGCGAGGCTGCAGCCGCCGAGGTAACCTGAGTCCCCGCCTGCCAGGGCCCAGGTCCTCCGGTCCCGCACAGATCTGTCTGTCCAACCCCAAACCAGGGCTGGCAGGAGCTCAATGCCGAGCATTGTCCCCCACCCGCCCCCCACCCCCAGCCTTCCTCCAGCTGGGGATCCGGCCCCAGGAGGCGGCTACGGGAAACCGGAAACCCCGGACAGCCTCCTCTGCACACTTCTCGCCCGTTGCCCATCAAACCTTCCCAACCTCGCCAAGTGGAAAGGCTCACACGGCCCACTTTCCAGATGAAAAGGCCGAGGTCTGGAGAGTCAGATCATTGCTTGAGTTCATGCAGCTGGAAGTGATGGAGCTCAGGTCAGGCCGGACTGAGACTCTTCCCCAGGAGGGTGCCTGGGAGTCATGGGCCTTCCGCCAGCTCTGGGCAAGGACTGGGGCCGTCTGGCTGTGAAGTACCTTACAGGTCGTAAGTGTTCAGTCCACGGGAGCGTAAAACCCAAAACTTGCAGGCCCAGGTTGCAAGCAGCTGGGGAAGGAGCTAAGACAGGCTGAGCCCGAGTGGCCCTGACTAAGAGGCCAGGGCTGAAAACAGAGCAGCACCCAGGACTGTTCATCCCTATGCGGGAGGCCACAAATCACTGCCACCGCGGGGAAAGCAGCTGGGCTCAGCTAGGCCCTGCCGGGTGCTCTCCTGCTCACTCCAGCCGCTTCCTCCCACCTCGCATCCGTGCAGAGGCCGCCACCCGCTCCCGAGAGGGGCAGGCAGGAGGAGAGGGGACCCTTCCGAGTCCCCTTCCTGGAACAGTCTCTCCTCGGGTCTCAGCTCCTGCATGGTGCGTTACGTGGCCTCTACCTCCTGTGCTCTACACACTGGCTCCCACGAGGGCCAGCCCTGGCGTGGCGCCATGCCTCGGTGGCTTCCTGACCCCTGCTTACATCTCTGCACAGGATGCTGTCCGTACACTCCCCCAAGGCCCTGAGGCACCGCTGAGATCTGCAATAAGCAGGGTAAGACGCTGACATGGGCAGGCAGCGGGACTCGGGGGCACATCACACCTTCTCTGGTGAGGGTCTGTGTGGCTGAAAGTTTTCCTGAAGAAAGAACAAGACCGAAAAGAGAGAGAAAGCTCCACAAGCAGGGAGGGCAGGGGCCCAGCCTTGGGCCACAGGCACCCACTCCTTCTCTCCTGGCTTCCCGTGCCATCAGGGCCCCTTCCCCATCTTCCTTGTTCAGCACCGCTCCCTCAAAAATGGGACGCACGGAGCTGGGTGGGGATGGGGTCGTGCAGGTGGGGTACCAGGAGCACTGAGCCCCCTGGGGCAGAAGGAGCCTGCTCCTCCCTGCAGGTCCAAGCCTGATACTGCACAACTCGGAGGAAATTTGGCCCCACCAGTCCCCCGTATGGAGGTGGGAATGGGGGGACCTCTTTGCTGAACACCAATCCTGGGAATTCTCTCCTCGCTTCCAAACCTCAGCCTCTCCTCTGACCAGGGCCCTGTCCAGCCCCTCCTGGTTATCTCGTCCTCTGTTTGTTCGCTGGTTGGACATCTACTGAGGCCTGTGACGAGCTCTGTGGCTCGTCGCCTGCTCCCCTCAGAATCACAGGGCGTGCATGTTTAGTCCTGCTTGGGCTGACAGCTGGGACAAGTCCTTACGTCGCTACCTAAGAGCATGAAAATCCCATACAACTGTGTCCGCCGGCACAAAGGACCTCTTCATCGGCTGTATCTTTTACAAAATCCAGATCCTATCACATGCGCCCTGTTCTGTGTCTTGTGTTTCCCCTCAGCAACCCCCAACAAAACGCACGCTGGGCCTGAACGGCAGGGACGCCGCTGTTCACGGCGGCTGAGAGGTGAAGCCACCCAGGTGTCCTCCAGAGGGTGCAGCCGGCGTGGGGCGGCCTCACCGAGGAGCTCTGCTCGTGCCCAGGAGCGGAGCCTCGCTGACATGCTACGTGCGGAGATCCTCCAAGCGTGCTGCTAATGCAAAGAGCCAGACGTGCGAGGTCGTACGATGTCTACATCCCTTGTGTGAGGTGTCCACCCCGGTGACCCGGCAGAGAGAAGCAGAGACACGGCTGCCAGGGGCGGGGGGAGACAGGGCGAAGGGTGACTGTGGGGGGAGCAGGGATTCTCTGGGGGGAGGACAGTGTTTGGAACTGGGAAGGGGTGATGGTTGCATAACATTGTGAATGAATTGATGCCATGGAGTTGTTTGCTTAAATGGTTAATTCCTTAAAGGTTAATTTAAAGCGCATGAATTTTACCCCATTTAAAAGCATGAAACATACAAATATGTATTCCTCCTCCTTCTTAAAAACAAGCTAGAACACTATACACATGGTAATTTTCTTTAATTTTTTTCAATTAAAAATAATTGCTAAAGCCGGGGGAGGGGTGGTACACACCTGTAATCCCAACACTCAGGAGGCTGAGGCAGGGGGATTGCTGAGAATTCAGGGCCAGCCTGGGCTACAAAGTTCAAGGCCAGCCTTAACTACAGAGCAAGACCCTGTCCCAAAAGACCAAATAAATAAAGACCTGCTAAAGGAAAAACCCTCCTACAACCAAGTACTTTTAAACAAGCAAACAAAAAAGAATCATTAGTGGAGAGAACTGTGCAGCTTCTTCTTTTTTTTTCCTTCTTTTTTGTGCTTTTGGTTTTGGTTTTTTATTGTGTTTTGTTTTTGTTTTCTTTTTCGTGCCCTGGGGATTGTCACTCACACTATCATCACTGTCTTAGGACCACAGCCTGCAGCCGCTCTTTGCTCCTGTACTGAGGCCTGTGTACTGAGCTACAGTTTACCCCTAGACCTTTATTTTTTATTTTGAGACACGGTCTCACTAAGTCACTAAGTTTACCCAGGCTTGGCTCAAATGTTCGACTGCCCTGCCTCAGCCTCCCATTGTGCTGAGGTTACAAGTGCGCACCACTGAACCCTTTTTTTAGTTGCTGTGTAATATTCCACGCTGTGGCTGGAACAGAATGGAGTCATCCATTTCCCCAAAATGACGTCAGGAGTTTGTATCCAGGTTCTTTCCAGCGTTCCCTCCCCCGGGCACACATAGGCACACTTTGCAAACAAGATTTTATTAGTCCTTTATCCAAACCGAATGCTTTTCCCCATTTTTCAGATGAAAAAATAAAGGCCCAAGAGGAGGAAGTCAAGAAATGCCTGAACCAGAGCCAGGCCCGGGCTCTGTGCTTGCTGAGAACACAGCAGTAAACAAGACCCACGCGGGCCCTGACCTCCCGTGAGGGCGACAGCTGAGAAACAAGATGAATCATAGGCTGTATGGCCTGTTCCCAGCCACAGGGTGCAGGGAGCGACGGAGCGGCAGGCGGGAGCTCCCCGTGAGGCAGCCAGGGGGGCGCTGCCGGGAAGAGCAAAGGCCTGAGGAGAGGCAGCAGCTTCATCATCTGAGGAACAGCGTTCGGAGCGGAGGAACAGCAAGCGCAAAGACCCAGAGGCAGGGAGCTCTGTGGAGCTGGCTGCGGCCAGGGCAGAAGGCAAAGAGGCGGCTGGGCTTTATTCGGAGAGCGAGAGGGAGCCGTGGGGCCAGGGCGAGGCGGGCTGGAGTCAGATGGGCTGTGACAGAGGCCAGGGCAGCTTGTCGGTGGCCACTCAGGCAGGGGTTGGCTAGAGGAAGAGGCTGGGTGGCGTCAGCGGCCGGTGTCTGGGTTGGGGCACAGAAAGAGGACTTGCCCACCTCCTCGCCGTGTAGGCACCCCAGTCGGCCTTGGAGGAAGCCCCAGAAAGGCCGGCGGGGGAAGCAACTCTGCTGACTCACAGGCCTGCGCCTAACTTCCCTCACGGAGCCCCAGACTCAGAGGACAGGGCAGGGGTCCTGTGGGCTGAGGGAGAACAGGGCAATTACAACTGCGGCCGGATGGGAAGTGGTTAACAGGGGGAACGGCCAGCAGGGCCAGGGTCACCAGGGACAGCCCCCAGGAGGGCGGGAGGCCGGGATGTCTGATCCCAGGTGGGAGGAAGGTAAGTAGGAGCTGAAGTTGGCTAAGGATGGGAGAAAGGGCGTCCTAGGCAGAGGGAGCAGCGCCTGCGGAGGCCCCGGAGGCAGCAGCAGAAGCTCACATCTATGAAAGGAGTCCTGGCTGCACAGAAGGACCCACTGTGTGCCTTGCTCAGGCAGGCAGCACCGTCCCCAGCCAGGGGACACACCCACCCACCCCACCCTGAGCAGGATTTGTTGGCGAGGCCCCCCCCACCTCCACCGTAGACTTCTCCGTCTCACCACGTGCAATAAACTAATAAGGCAGAGAAGGAGAGGAGCAGGGCCAGGGGTTTAGCTCAGCGGTGCAGTTCCTGCCTGGCAAGCGTGAGGTCCTGAGTTTAATTCCCGGTAACCACTCCCAGAAAAATATAATTAAAAAAACAAAACGTAGAGGAGGTACGGGGGCTGGAGGCGCAGCTGGGTGGTAGAACACTGGCCTGGCAGGCGTGACGCTCTGGGGCCCACCCCCAGGGCCGGAAATTGTTACTCTCTTTGGAGCGGTGAGAAGCCAGGCATGGAAAGCAGAGAAAGGATCAGCCCTGGAAAGAGAGAGGAGACAAGCAGGGGACAGGGACAAGAAAGAGAAAAAGACAAGACTGAGAGAAACGGAAAAAGAGAGGGGCAAGAAGGGGAGAAGGCGGGGGAGAGACCTCAACACAGAGAAAAAGGAACCAGAGACAAGGGCAGGAACCTGCACAGAGCCACCTGGGGCAGGCCGGGCTGGGCCCCTCCCGGTCTCAGTCCTCCATGCCTGCAGTTCCAGGATCCCTTCACACGCCCCGGGGTCTGACTCACCAAGCACAAATTGAGTGCCTACTGCATACCGCACGCCAACACGTTCCAGGACCCTGAGACCCAGTGGTGACCACAGACCTGGCCCCTGCTCCTGGGGCCGACACTTGAGGGACCGGGGGCCCCCAGATCCTAAAAGGGGGCAGCAAGCCTGGCGGGCAGGAGTGGCATAGCTAGGCTAAGGCCCAGCCAGAGCCCTTGGGAGCACAGAGGCTGGAGAGCCGTGAGCTGGGGGTGGGGAGCACCATGCAGGCCTCTGAGCAGGGGGGACGCCTGGGAGCTCTCTGAGCAGGGAAGGGACAAGGTGGATCCCTAGGGGCAGGTGAGGAATGGGTGGGCAGAAGCAGAGGTGGGAGGAGGCGAAGCCCAGGGCCAGGCAGCAGCTGGGGGAAGTGGGGCCAAGGCACCGCATCTGAAGCTGCCGCTCCTTCGCAGAAGCCCACACACGCGTCTTCTGATGGCCAACCCCGGCTCCTGGCCCCCTCTCTGAGGACGCCCATGTCCTCAGGGACCTGCAGCCAGACTGCCTGAGCTGGCTGCTCCTTCCCTCGAAGGCCAGCAGATGGAAAAGGAGAGAGGAGAAGGGTGAGGAGGGAGAAAGGGTGCCCCTCCGTGGCAGAACCACATTCACCGTCCCCAAACTCCCAGAATGCACTGCGGGGAGAAGCTCTGCCACGAGGACAAGGCCATCGCCTCTTTAGGAAACACCAAACGCGAGCGACTCATTCCACAGAGCCCAGAGGCGGAGATGGCGATAAGCGATCACCCGCCGTTCCTGGGTGCCAACACGATGGCAAGGGCTTCCAGACATTATTTCTACTTTTTTGCATTGTCATTATGTGTTTGGGTTACAAAACCAAGAGACTCATTGTTTAAAAAAAAAGAGAGAGAGAGAGAAGGGGAGGGAGGAGAGGACTTCTAGCTTTACAGAAATACATAACTCGCTCGTCTCAGATCACGCAGGCCTACTCGCTGTCCCCAAACACTCCAGGCCCTGGCTACCCCAGGGCCTTTGCACTTGCTGTTTCCTATTCATGGTGTTCTTGCCCCAGACAGCTGTCCACACGGCTCCCTCCTGCCTGCTCTCCAGAGGCCTCCTGACTGAGCAGCAGTCCCTCTGTCACCCACGCCCATGGCTTCCTCACCGCACTTAATGCTGCCCGGCATTATATGAGTCACTGCCTTCCCGCCACCAGTGGCACGTCGGCCCTGTGGCTGCAGGGCGTTTGCCTGCTGTGTCCCCTGCTGGACGTTCCTGGCGCACGGCCGGTGCACAAGTTGGATTCAAACGCGGCTCCTCCGGGAGAGGAGCCCCGGTGAGCAGCAGCTGTCTCTCCTGTGCCCTGTACGCAGGAGGTGTCTGTGGCAGGGCTGGAGGCACAGGCCGACAGAGGGACAGAGGTGTGGGGAGGGCCAGGGCCACCAGCAAACAGCAGGTACAACAGCGAAGAAAGCGGAGCAGAGAAGCAAGAAAAGGAAACACCGCTGCTCTGAGCTCCCAAGTGCCTGTCCTTTCCTAACGCCCGCCCCAAAGATGAGCTCCTTTGATCCTGCCAATGGCACCAGGAAGATGGCTTTATTTTAAGCCGATTTCCCAGATGAGGAAACTGAGGCTGAGCAAGGGCAGCCTTTCCCCTCGGCCCCATGGTCAGGGAGGGGAGAACTGGGCCTGGTCTGCCAAGCACCTACTGGGTGCAACAGGCGCCACATTGAGTGGGCAGGAGGTGACCTGGGCCCAGGGCTGTCAGCCTCCCAACACTCAGAAGAGAAGCTGGTGTTCAAGTTTTGACGTGAAATTTCTTGCTAGTCAGTGTCAGCAAGCAAACGAAAATCTTAGGAAACTGCCGAGCAAAGGAGCACGTTTGCAACCCTCGGTCTAAGCTTGGGGTTTCGGGGAGCGAGACATCATAGGGGGTAGACAGAGGCTCCCTGGAGGAGGTGGGAGAGGCTGGCCCTGGCGCCTGCTGGGGGAGAGGCCTTGGGTGAAGAACACCAAGAAGGGCCTTGGGTCACATCCGCCTTGGGCCACGCTGTGGGAACTGGCGGGCCAGCGCAAGCAGGAGAGGCCCAGCGGGTCCAAAGAGATTCCCACCAGCAGCCCCTGGGGCAGGTGCTCTGGGCGCCCGCCCTCCTCCCCGCTTCCTCTCCTCCCAGGGCTCTCCGGGAGCTGAGCCTCCTGAGACATTTTCCCTGCAGTCCCTGGGTCGCTGTGAACTTCCCACCCACCTCAGCACCGACCGGAGGGAGGAGCCGAGGAGGTCACCACCACGGCCGGTGGCCCGCCCGGTGCTGACAGCCACAGGCCTAGTGCCTTCCTGGGCTCGCGGCTGGAGACAGCGCAGTCTCAAGCAGAACACAGCTGAAAGTCAAAACATAAAAGCACTGGCCTCAAGGGAAATCCCAATGCTTGAGCTGAATGGCCTTGAAATATAGTGTTCTACCAAGCAGTCAAGCATACGGCCGCTGTTGTCTCCTTTGACTGTGTGCAAATTCTATTTCATGGGATGTGGCCGAGCTGGGTCTGGATCCTGTCTCCCCACCTCCCTAGTGAAGACCCAGGCCAGGGCACGGGGCAGAGAGTGCCACTGTGTAGGGCCACCCCGGGGCCTAACGCAGTCGCTGGCTAGCAAGCTCTCAGAAAGCAGGCAGCACATCATAAGCGCTGAGAAGCGGTCATGACAGTTAAGGTTGTCAGCTAAGCGACACGGCACCATTTCAAGTCACAGTGCAAAGCACAGGAGACTCTGAAGACACCAGCAGGAGCGAGCGCATGTTTAAGTTGCATATAGATAAGGCTGGGTAGCCTGTGGAAACACTGCTAGGTAAGAGGCCGCACGGACTCAGCTGAGCACATACATTTCTTTGCTCTGTCAGCTGAAAAGGCCTAAAATAAATGCCAGCCCAGTAGCAATGTGCACACTTGGCCCTCGGATCTTGATGTCTACTACTGTCCCCCATGAAAGGACCCAGGCCCCTGGGACAGCTGGCTGGTCCCAGCACCATAGCAAGAAATCCACAGCATCTACCTGTAGCCTCTCGCTGTGCTGGAAAGTAAGGCCGGCCTCAAAGCCAACCACAGCGATAGGGTCTCTCTGAGGGGCTGGGCCGACTGGGAGAGCACCCTATGGCCAAAGCAGGAAATACTTGAACAACAAAATTTCATAAGTAGCACTGGGGCTGGGAGCAGAACCCGGGGGAGAGCACTTACTCAGAGTGTGCAAGGCCCAGGGTTCCATCTTCAGCACCATAAAATCAAAATAAAGTTAGACAATGGTATTGGATTGTAACCTAAAGTATAAAAAATGCTATAAGCCCCTGCTGATACAGATAGAGGGATGGATGGATGGATGGATGGATGGATGGATGGATGGATGGATGTGTGGGTGGGTGGATGGATGGATAGATGGATAGGGAAGAACAGAAGAATTCCAAATAGTTCAGGGAGGGACCCCACCCTCAGCGGAGGACAGGAGTGGACGGATCCCAAGGTGAGTGCAGCCGCAGTGACTTCTTTCCAAGCACAGCATCTGTAGAAGACCAAAGGGGGACTTAACCAAGTGTGGTGGCGCATGCCTGTAATCCTAGCACTGAGAAGGCTGAGGCAGGAGGATTGCTGTGCATTCAAGGCCAGCCTGGGCTACATACACAAATTCAAGACCAGCCTGCACTACATAGTGAGACCCTGCCTCAAAAAAAAAAAAACAAACAAAAAACAAAAAACAAAAAACAAAAGCAAAACAAAAAAGGGGGACTTTGCAGAGCAGACAGGTGACAAACTTCACCTTGACCAGGTGCCCTGGGTCAGCATCCACGACCACACTCCAACTGACAGCACGTCCCCTGGATGAGCCGTGAGGATAGTGGCACTTTACCGCTGAGCTCCTCACACCAAGCCCCACACAGAGTGCAGCTCCTGACCAGGCTCCTCGGGACTGTCAAGGTCATCGCGAACAAGGGAAGTTGGAAACACTGCCAGGGACAAGAGGAGCGTGAAATGTCGTGACAGATCATTGGAGGGTGCCTCCTGGACGGGCCCCTGGGACAGAAAAGGGAAATAGGCTGAAACAAAGAAATCTGAATAAACTGTGGCTTTGGTTACCGCATCAGTACTGGTTCAGCGATTGTCACAGATGTAGCTGATCAATGTAAAATATTGGTGGGGGGAAAGAAGGTATAAGGATTCATCTTTTCAATTTTTCTGTAACTCTAGCTGGTGGTTTGGTTCGGTTTGGTTGGGTTTTGTGGTACCAGGGATTGAACCCAGAGCCTTTGCACTGAGCTACACCTCCAGCCCTTTTCTCTCTTATTTTGAGACAGGTTCTTGCTAAGTTGCCCAGGCGGGGCGCGAACCTGTGATTCCCAGAGGGCTGGAATCCGTGTGTGCACCACCGCACACCACTCCTGGCCCCTAAAACTGTGCTAAAAGGATAAAGTCTGCTCCTCCAGACCAGCTTCTGTCTCACGCACCCTCATAGCTCAGGGCTCAGCTTTCTCCAAACCGGCTGGCACATTTCCGACTTGAGCATCTCTGCAGCTCTGCCAGTCCTCCTGAGACCTCTGACCTGGGGTCTACGGGCCAGAGTGGAGTTACCTCTCTGCTGACAGTGGGGCCCGTCCTGAAGCACCTCATGTGGCAGGATTGAGTCTGGAGCCCCAGAACCCAGCCTCCTGCCCCAGGGGTCCCTCATTAATCTGGTCATAGAAGCCCACTGCTCCGTTCATCCCTGGCACTGTCGCTGTCGGCCTACATCCTCAGGAACCATGGCTAAATCTCTTTTTTTTTGTTGTTTCTGTCTTTTTTAAGACAGGGTCTGTCTATGCAGTTCAGGCTGGCCTTGAGTTCACTTTGTAGCCTCAGGCTGGTCTCAAACTTGCAACGATCCTCCTGCCTCAGCCTCCCGAGTGCTGGGATTACAGGCGTGCACCACCACGCCCAGCCATGGCTAAATCTCAGTTCAGGTTCTTTCTTTCCCTCATGTTTTCTGACTCCATTGCCTCATGCTAGGTTCCTGCTCAGGGATCCTATCTAGAAGCTGCCCCAAGTCCCCACGCAGGTGCCACCTCCACAGGGGCAGGGGACGCTTAACCTGCCACAGTGGTGACAACCCAGAGGCGGAGTAGGGAGCAGACCTCAGACCTCAGGGCCCCACTCATGCCACTTCCTGGCCCATGGCCAGCGCACACAGTCTGGGACAAAGGAGGAAAAGGGAGGCCCAGGGCAAGACACCCATTTCTCAGAAAGTCTGGGTTAGGAGTCAGGGGACCTGGGTTCAAGTCCTTCGTGTGCCTGACTCATAGTGTCACCTTTACCCACTCACTTCCCCTCGTCTGGACCTCAGGTTCCTCATCTGGAGTCAGGGGTGGGACGGGCCGATTTCTTGAGAGTTCCCCAACTGACACCGCGCTGTTGAAATCAGGGCTGCTCAGAGCCCGGAGCCACGGCTGCATTTGCAGTTAACAAGCACGCATCCGAAACTATCACCACCGAGCCGACCCCTAACAGCGGGCGAAGCGACCACCACCTTCTGCGAGAAGCAAGCTGCCGGGAGGTGAGGGCAGGTGCTGCTGCCCGGGCTCGTGCTCCAGTGTGCCTGGATCTGTGCTGGACGTGAATCACGACGCGTTTGCACTCTGTGTATTGTAGTTGCTCCTACCTTTGGTCTTTGTTTATAATAATTACCCTTGGAATGAAACCCTAATTCCTCACCCCAGCCCCGAAGTCCCACATCACCCACCCCCTCCCTCCACCCCAGTCTCTTCCCCTCCTATCTTCCAGCCAGAGGCCGCCCCGCTGTCCTTTGCACGGGCTGTTGCTGCCACAGGGCCCTTGCCTCTGGGGATCCCTCCACCTGCAACACCCATTTCTTAGGTTGCAGCTGCCCTGGGGAAGCTCCCTGGCTGCCCATGGACACATCCCTGCTCGATTCTCACCGAGCCTCCCTTCGCAGCCTGCACCGGGATCTGCTCCCGGGACCAGCACCCCACCGGACGGCCCACTCCGCTCTTCTGTGATGCGATCTCAGCACCCTGCCGGGGCCTGACAGCTAGTAGCATCTCCCTAAAGGCTGGTTCAGTGAACGAGTGAATGAATGGAGGATGCTGGAATCCAGAGACCCCGTCAGCGGCTCCTGTTTGCATTTATTGAGCACCTACTCTGTGCTGAGCTACACTGCTGTTCCATCCCTGGTCTCCATTTTGCACGTGAGAAGACCAAGGCTCCAGGCCTCACAGCCTCCATGGGCAGAGCTGGCCTTAACCCAGGCCGGGGTCCTGTGTTCGAGCTCCTCCCACCCACTAGGAGCCTCAGGGAGACACGGGGTGGATGGCAAGTCTGCCCCGATGCGCACACATGCACCCCCGTCCCCTGGGCACCTCCCTGGCCCACCGCCTGGTGGAGCACCTGGGGCTGGCACGGGAACCGAGCCTGCGGGCAGCCTGGCCCTGTGCCCCTGGGACCCGGAACTGGTACGGGGAGCAAAGAGTCTGGACAGGTGCGAGGTGGGGGACGCAGACCCCTCAGCCCAGGCAAGCACCCTTCAGTCAGACTCAGTTTCCCCAACTGCTCGGTGGCCTCAGACTCGTGTATCCTGGGAACAGGAGCCGGCAGCCCCCATCCCTGGCCTCCAGGTGAGCCAGGTGGGAACCAGTGCCGATGCGGCGGGGACGAGGGCGGGAGCCCAGGGATTCAGGTGCACGTCCCCCTTCCTTGGGTGCCTTCCGGCCCCTGCCCTCACCCCTACTCCCTCCCCAAGCCTTCTGCAGGCAGCCCAGGCCAACACCGGCCTGCACTGCAGCACAGCGCCGACGCTGGTACCCGTGCCTGTCCAGGAGGCCCCTGGTGGGCAGGAAGACAGACAGGCAAAACAAGAACCCAAAGACAGCCTGTATCCCTGAGTGTGGATCCCTCCTTGAACACTTGCCAGCTGTGTGTCCTTAGGAAAGTCTCTCACCCTCTCTGGGCCTCTATCGCATTCGCAGTGGGTAACTGTGCTTCCCACTCTGGGTTGGTAAGACCCCAGCACCTTGCCTGGCAAACAACAGCACAGCTGACTCAAGTGGACACTTTCCGTGTTCAAAGTTTGCTCTGGGAATGGCGAGGAAGGAGCAGACAGGAGGAGGACGGGTCCCCCGAGGCTGGGGAAGCCCCGGCCCCTGCTCGCCTCCAGAGCAGATGCTGCCCTGCCAGGCTGGACCGTGGGTGGGAGCCTGGCACAGAGCTGCAGGGGGAGGGCACTCGGGCAGAGGGCGCAGTCTGGGCAACAACAAGCACATCCCTCAAGTCCGGCTCAGCTGTCACCTCCGAGCCCGAATGCCACCTCTCCCGGGGGACCCTTCCTGCTGGCCCCACCTGGGCCCTGTCTACATCCCGACAGCGGTTCAGCTTCCTCGCGCAACTCAGCTCAAGCTTGGGCCTCTGTTTACTGTTCACCTCCCCTGCCAAGCTCCCCCGGGGCAGGGACGAGGCCCGCGCTGCTCGCTGCTGTGTCCCCGGAGCCCAGCACAATAGCTGGCGTGCAGCAGAGGCTTGATGACACAGCGAGCACCGTGTGAACAATTGCCTCACCCCTCTGTGCCTCAGTTGCCTTATCTGTGAAACGAACATCGTAACAGCGGCCATCCTCTGAGTTCTTTCGAGAATTCAGTGAGTTACGATGGGAGTCGGCGCGTGAAAACCCAGCCGATCCAACCAATGCCCGGGAATGGTTTCCTGTCTCGTGAACATGTCGGTGGGTAAACAAAACATGCAATGAGAGAATAGAAAGAGTTAGGGATGCACGTTCTCGGAAGGACAGCAGATAGAGCCCCACGCAGCATCAGTTTAAATGCTGGCAGTTGAAACCCACATGTCGTGTTGTCTTTTACTTTTCCCCAACATTTTAGCCTGGTAAATCTTAAACTCATAGTAAATCAACAGAATAGTACAATGAACACCTCATCCTCCAGTTAGCCTTCTACCCTGTGTGCTTTCTCTCCAGCAAGAACAAGAAGGGTGAGTTGAAATACTTTTCTTTTCCTGTCTTTTTTTTTTTTGTTTTTTTTCCTGATCCAGGTAGGAGCCAGTTGAAGACACCAAGGAAATTTACTCCTAAGTTTCTCAGCTGTTGAGATCCTTTCTTCAGTCTCTGACTCAGCAGGGGTATGAATTCTCTAGACCAATTGTAACCAGTTCTGTGAGCTTATAAATCTGTAATTCTGCAGATCCACTAATCCCCAAATCCTTGAGCCTGAAAATATTTGGTTCTAAAAACCATCCTCTGCTGGCCCCGCGTGTCCGCGTGGGTCTGAGTTCCGTCTCTGGATACTCGGGTTCCTGGCGCTCTGCCAGGGCTCAGTGAACGCGCCAGCCCCAGATCTGTGTTTCTCCCTTGGCCCGGGCATGGAGATCCTCCCGTGGTGCCTCTGACTCCTGATTCCCAGAAGCCAGTGCCCAGGACTGGGAAAGGGGAAAACCCAGCCGATCCAACCAATGCCAAGCCCCAAAGGCGTCAAGTGGCACAGAGGCTGGGGCACGAGGCCCAGGGTGACACCCGCCAGCCGGGCAGGGATGCGCGTGCCCACCGTGGGCCTGCAGGGCGAGGGGCAGACGGGCGGCCCCCACCCCCGCCTGCCATGGAGCAATCGACTGAGTCACCCCCACCCCATGACTCGCCTGCCCGCCACACAGAGGCCTGTAATTACGGCCGCCTCCTCCTCCCAGGCTGGTCTTATCGCCCATCGGGCAGGCAAGGAAGAGGGCACCCGGAGTCCCACAGACGCGCTGCTCCTGGCTCCTTGGCACGAGATGCAGGCGTGCCTGGGCCACAGGAGGCAGCTAGTCCGGGCTCTGGGATAGGCTTGGGGCCCCCAGAAGCCCCACTATCTATCCCAAAGGCCATGCTCAGGGGCACACCATCCAGGCCAAGTTCCAGAAAGTGTGAAGGGATCAGGGGACAGCTCCAAGAGACCCTCGCACAGCATCCCGGCTCACGGCTGCTGGCCAGACCTGCCAGTGGGTGCTGGGCAAGAGGCAGAGACAGGAAGGGCTGGGGAGGAAGAGGAGACAGGGTGGGCAGGACCGGTCCCCAGGACAGCTCCAACAGGGAGTTGGAGACAACCAGGGATGGCAAACTCTTCACCTGCTCCCCTGTTCCCCTGGCCAGCTGCCTCTGGCCTCAAGGAAGGAGCTCTAGTACCCATTCTACAGATGGGGAAAGTGAGGTTCAGAGATGCTCCAGAGCAACCCCATTCTCCAGGGATGTACACTGCCAGGGAGGGCAAGAATCCCTCCACCCCCAACAGGGTGGGACACCAGGGCAGGACAGCAAGGAGGAGCAACCCAGACATACTCAAATCTAAGCCCTCTGTGCCTCCGTTTCCCCAGCTGTCAGCTGGAGATATGCAGTGCGAGCCACATCGCGTCATCATGAGGATGAAGCCCAGCTGCCAGTGAGATCCTTCCCAGAGGCGGTGGGATAGAGGACAGGGGGGCGAGGGGCGACTGTGCGCCCACCTCCCACACCCACCCAGTTGGTTCCCCAGGGCTGTCCCCACCCTGGGCAGGGTCCCAGGATCAGCACCCCCAGCCCACACCTCGGAGATGCAGGCGGCACAGCTTAGGGCCTGCAGGGGGCCGGAGCTTCGAAATCATTAACAATTCCCTCCTCCCTGTCCCTGCCCCAGACCTGCTCGACCAGTCTCCCCACAGAGCGAGAGCAGCCCGCAGGCCTGACATCTGAACCCACTACTGCCCTCCTGCCTCCACGAGGCCTGCGTCTGGATGCAGCTGGGGAGAAGCACGGGCCACCCGCTCGTCCCCAGGTCCTGCCACAGCAGTCAGGCCGCCAGGCAAGGGACCGGTCGCTCTTTTCCTGGAGAGAGAGAGACAGGCAGACGGACAGAGACAGAGACAGACAGAGAATCTGCCAAGAGGCAGGTGGCCGGAGAACTTCTTGAATGGGCAGGAGCGTGGAGCAGTTGGGTCAAACTTGGGCTCTGGACTCATGTCCCCGCTCTGCACTGGACTTTCTGTGTGACCTTGAATAAGTCAGTACCCCCCGGACCTCCGTTTCCTCCTCTGCAAAGTGCAGCGAGGAATTGCCACCCGCAGGAGCCAGTGGGTTGGAAAAGGCCCAGGCCCAGCAGAGGCACATGGCGAACGGTCCGGGGCCAACAACCCAGCAGGCTGGGCAAAAGCACCGGGCAGAGAGAGCCACACCGGCACAGAGCCTTGAGACCGCAAGGGGCAGAGCCCAGAGGGGCAGACCCACCCCGACCACAACCAAAGCCCTCTCGACATCCATGGCTCCGCCCCGGAAGTCAGGGCACCTGAAGCACCCCGCGTGCTCACCACAGCCCATGAGGCCTGAGGTTGCCCCAGTGCCCAGCTCGGGTCAGAGGCTTGCAGGGCGCCCAGGCCATCCCAGGGGCCCAGGCCTGGGCCAGGAGGGTGAAAGGCTGTAGTCTCGTACCTGAGACCTCCCAGCTCCCTTTCATCCTGGGGATCTCTGAATATTCCACAGTCCAAACCATGCTGCAACCCTTGTAGCTGTGTGACTGTGTGTGAGCTGCTGTACCTTTCTGCTCCTTGGTGTACCTATCTGTAAAGTGGGACAGCATGATAGTGACTTAAAAAAAAATTTTTTTTTTGAGACAGGGTCTTGCTATATCATTCAGGATGGCCTTACACTCACTTATGTAGCCCAGGCTGGCCTCAAACTTGTGATCCTCCTGTCTCAGCCTCCCAAGTGCTGGGATTACAGCTGTGCACTACCATACCCAGCTGAGTGACTCAAAATTGTCTGAATTTTGTCCCAGACACAGCAGGAACTTGTAAAGCACTTAGCACAGTGCCTGACCCATGGGAGGTGTGCAGTAAATGGATGCTGATACCCCTTTCTGTATCTATCAGGTGGTTTTACATTGCAAGTTCTTCACTCTGTCTGACAGGCTCACCTCCATATTTCATCTCATATGAACTCCTATGTGTCCCTTAAGGACCTACACAAATAGTCCCTGCTCTGAGAAGCTCTCACTGACCCCTACTTATACACATACAAAAGTCACCTCCTCTGGGCTCCCTGACACCACGTATGGCCATCTCCTCCCAGAGTCTGGGCCCACTAGAGTTAAGTGAGCTAGGTCCAATCACACAGATGTGGAAACAACTTAGAGTCTCCAGCCAAATTTTGAAAATATTCTCAGGCTGCCACTAAAGGTGAAGGACAGTGCAGATCCCCAAATGTAGCCTTCTGAGCTGAGAATCCTTTTAGTCAAATGAGTGATAAATTATGGGGGGTGACGCGAGTGCAAGGTCAGAAGGACCGGCCAACCTGGAACAGCCTTGAGAGCAATCGGCAAGTGAGAGGCCAAGCAGAAGGGTGGGGAGCACACCTCCTGCCGTCTGTGCGTGGGGAGAAAAGGGCGAGGAGCGGGACAGGGAGGCCGGGACCGGGCCCTTGTTTGTTTGTGTGTTCATAAAGGAGCTCAGGGGCTGCCTGGGGGCCGGGGCCCGAGGGTGGGGCACAGGCAGAGGTGGGGACCTGCTTTTTACTGTGTCCTCTTGGCTACTTTCAGGTTCCGTAGCACTCACTCCCAAGAACTATTCAAAAATAAGATATGAACAAAAGGGTTAGGACGTTGGAAGTCACCGGCCCGAGCACCAGACCCCTTACCATGCAAGAACACTATGCAGCACCCTCCCCTGACAGGCTAGCCTGCCTTGAATGCTCCTAGTGACAGGGAGCTCAGCGCTTTAGCACATGGTCAGTTCCTCCTGGGGCAGCTGGGAAGGGCACTGGGGCGGCACACAGGTGCCTCTCTCTTGGGCCCAGAAGCAGGCTTCTATTCAAGCTACTACTACGGACCTGCTCTGCGGCCCTGCCCTCCTGGGGCCCAGGCAGAAGGTGGGCAGAGTGGCAGGGTGTGCTCTGCTGTGACTCAGGCCCCATGGGTGCCCGGGGCACAACCAGCTTCCCAGGACACAGGGCTGTGACTCAGGGCCACGCAGAGAGGCCAACCCAGGTGGCAGCTGGCAGGCCACCAACCCGCCCGCGCCCTTCCGAGCCACAAACCCCCAGCAGGGCCTCTGTGGCAGGCAGATGCTCTCTGCGATCCCCTCAGCAGAGGGCACCGTGGGAGGTGAAGGCTCTGGGGCCAGAAAGTCCAGGTTCAACCCTGCGTCTGCCATTCACTGAGCCTGGGCCTCCATTTCTCCCTATACAGCGCAGCAGCCGTATGCCCCACCTGACTCACAGACCACTTCTGAAGATGCTCTGAGCTCGTCTGGGTAGAGCGCCCACATCAGCCGTGGCAGAGACAGGCCTCAGCCAAATCACGAATTATGGTCATGTGGGCTGGTGCCCAGCCGGGTGTGAGGTCCCCAGCTCGGAGCCTTAGAGAGAGGCGCGGTGCCTCTGGTCACCCTCAGGGCCAGTCGGAGGCCCAGGAAGATCACCCTGCAGCTCAGAAAGAGTCCAGTCCCTGCCAGGCCTCCAGCTCCCCAAGGGCGGAGGTCTTCCTGTTCCCTTCATGTGTCCCAAGTGCCGGGTCCCCATGCCCGGACTGGCGGCCAGCACCACTGGGTGGGCTCCGCAGGCACAAACTCTAGGCCTTGGCCCGCCGCCCCAGGCTCAGACAGTGTGCTGGGTTTCAAACCGTCACCTCCAGTCCTCAGCTTTGACAAGGAGCTTCGCATCCAGCTGCACAGGACCCTGGGAGCCCTGTGGCCGCCCCTGTGTCCGTGGCACCCGGGGTACTTGTGAGAGAAAGAAGAGTCAGAGGAATGCCTCCTCACCAGGCTCCCTGGCGGAGGCCCGAAAGCTGCTGAGGAGACCAGATCGCCCACGACCACCAGCAGGGCCTCAGACCCTGACGTGGGACCTTCGCGGACAGCCGGCAGGGCAGCAGGTCTGTGCGGGGACCTGGGGGCCAGGCCCAGCCACAAGCTCTGCTCTCGCCCTCAGAGCTACTCCATGCCCTTTTCCCAGCTGGGGAAACTGAGGCCCAGCTCAGGGCAGGAGCTGGCCCAGCTTGGCGAGGGTGCCCGCCTGGGAGGTGGCCTGGCCAGGTGCCCGGGGAGGGGGCGGGGGCCTCTGTGAATCGCTCCTCAGTCCCCGCCGACCACAAGCCGGTTGGGTGAAAGGCGGCTGCTCCCCGCCCGCTTCCCCGCCAACGTGGGCCCGAACAATGGGCCTTTGTGCCCTGTGTGGGCGGGTTGTCAAGGTGCGCAGCCCTGGCCCAGGGCCCGGCCGCAGCCTCCACGAGGGCAGGGGCCAGGCAGGGGGTCCGCGGGGGCCGGGAGCCCAGCACACGGGGAGAGCGGCCACCCTGAGCCTCTCACGAGGGAACGAGAGGGGAGCACAGAGAGGGCGCTGAGGCAGCCAGGCCACACAGCACCTGGGCCGCAGAGGCCGGCTGGGGAGCTGGGCTGCCAGGCTCCCTGGAGTTGCCCGAGTGCGCCTGAGGCTGAAACCTGCCCTGGGGGCTCAGCAGGACCCTCTCCTCTCTCCCACCCTCTCACCGATGCCCTCCTTCCCCCAGGCCTCAGCCCAAAGGCCCCATCTCTGGGAGGACACAGATTGCGTCAGCTACAACATCACTAGGAAAATGTCGCCCCCTCACAGGGCCCCCCAGCGACTCAGAGCCCCCCCACGGGATCGAGAGCCCTGCGGGGAGTCACCTGGCCAGGTGGGCGCTGCAGCGAGTCCCAGAGTTCCAGAGTTCCAGGAGAAAACAACGAGGGGGTGGAGCTCGCCTAGCGTCACCCACCTGGCTGCGGGAGAGCCCTGTGTGGTGAGAGCCAGAGCTGCCTGCCGATCCCTGGTTCCGCCGGTGGCCGAGTCCAAGCCCTGCCCTCCGGCCCCCCACCTTCAGCCAGCAGCGAGTGACCCTGCCGGTCGGCTCCCAGACGCTGGCGTCAACGGAGGGCTGTGTGGTCAGAACCTCATCTCATCGTCACGGAAGCGCTGAGAGGCAGGAGCTCCACTTCACAAATGGGGAAACTGAGGTGCGGGGAGGCAACTTGCCGATCCCACCAGCTGGTGAACGGGTCCCAACACTGCCAGAGTGCCCCGGATGTCTCTGCTTGCTCAGCCCTCACGACCCCTGTGCCAGGCAGGGTGAATGTCCCCAACTTTAGAGTTCTTTTTATTTCTTTTTTTTTTGAAACAGGGTCTCGCTATATAATACAGGCTGGCCTTGAACTCAAGGCAATCCTCCTGCTTCAGCCTCCAAAGTGCTGGGATTACAGGCATGTGCCACCACACTTAGGACATGTCCCCAAATTACAGAGGGAACTGAGGCCCTGAGTAGCAAAGTCACATGGCCAAGGTGACACAGCCAAGAGCTAGGAGCAGGGATCCAACCCAGCCTCTGGCCCTGAGTCCCAACCTTGCTTCCTTCCTCCCTCACGACAGCCAGGTTCCCAAACGTCCAAGTCCATCTGCACCGCCTGACCCTTATCCTCATCGCCTGTTCCAACAGACCCCGGAGCCCCCCACTGCCCTGGTAGCCTTGCCCAGCATAAGACGGGGAGAGAACGCCCACCTGTGGGGGCTTGGGGACAGAGCCGGGGTGGCCTGCTCACATGACAGAGGCTACAGGGAGAAGAGACACATGCGCTGAGTCACCTGGCCACTGGGGCCGCCTGGGGAAGGAGCAGTGGATAGAAGAGGCAAACTGCAGGGACAGATGTCCGAGTGATGCCATATGTGCATACAGGCCTACAACCAAAGCAGCACCCCAAACTCCCAGTGGCACACGTGTGTGTGCGCGTGTGTGCGCGTGTGTGCGCGAGCGTGTGTGTGTGTGTGTGTGTCTAGAAATAGAAAGATGTGGCCCAACCACCATCACTGCACAAGGAAACTGCATCCCCACGGAGCAACCCCACTCCCGGGCACCCCAGAGGCAGAGCCGCCGGCGTCCCCTGGAAGCCAAGCACACAAGTGTCCGCAGCAGTGCTGTCCAGAGTAGAGGGAGCTGGACTCCACCCACATCTCCACAACAGGAGGGCGACGAGGCGCAGCTCTCTCCATCCACCCACAGAACACACGGAGCATCGGAGAGAGGCACAAACCTGAGACAAAACCTCAAGCAGTACAAAGAGTGTTACCTGCGCCGGGAAGCTGTGGGGGCTGGAAACATCCCGTCCTGACCCGGTGGTGATCCCAGCACCGCTAGCTTGCACACCTACAATTTGTGCATTTTTCTGTGTGCAATGTAAATGTCCACCAAGCAAACAGTAGAAGGATAAAGACATGCAGGGGAATCACAAACGCCTGATCTAGCAACCTCGAAGGGCCGGGGCAGAGAGGAAGCAGGGGTCACCTATATTGAGGAGTTTTCTCTCTTAACCTCAGTAATGGTTGCACTGAAGCTCTTTTTATTATCCTTTAGCCCTTCTGAATGTCTTAAAACCAAACCACAAACAAAAGCCATTTCCACAGCCTGCCTGTCTTGCTCCAGAATGCACAATGGCTCCCTACTGCCTCCCGGCTGAGGCCCACCCTCCTCTGTTCGCCAATCAAGGTCTCATCCCGGGCCTCAACCTGTCTTTCCAGCCTGTGTGCTCAGCCCTCCCCACCAGCCAGGCTGGTCTCCTGTCTCTTCCCCTAACACGCCTCAAACATTCCCGTCTCCACGCCTGTCCTCCCACCTGGAATGCCCTCTCCAGCCATTTCCTTGCTCTGTGCGGGCACTATGCCCAGTGCCTGGGGCTATTAACTCCTGAGACCTGGGGCCCAGTCGTGGGGAAATTGGGGCATTGCTTTCAGCCCCGAATAATGTCTGTCATTAGCTCCCCAAGCCACCCAAACACACAAACAAACAAACAAGCACAGAGCGGTGCCATAACTGAGTGTAGCGGGTATACATTTATGGTCCCAGCATCCTGGGAGGCCAAGGCAGGAGGGTTGCAAGATCAAGTTCAGCCCGGACAGCTTAGTGACTGAGCAAGTCTGTGTCTCAGAATAAAAATACAAAGGCTGTGGGGATGTAGCTCCGTGCAAAGGCCCTGGGTTCAATTCTCAGTGGCTCCACACAAGAAATCGTGCTGCTCTACTATTTTCAAGACAGCCTCCTCAAGACTAGCCATTCCATGAGCCTCTTTAGAATAAAAATTCTGGTTAACTTCATCCCCACCATTCCTGCCTGTGTATCTTTATCAATCCCTTTTTACACAGGAGAATCTAAGGCTCAGAGAGGGCAAGAAACTTGCTGGAGGCCTCCACCAAACACTGATCTGCTCCCATGATCCTCTCCTCCTCTGATAGCTTCATAGCATGAATGGCCCCTAATGTGCTCCTGCCTCAGGGCCTTTGCACTTGCTGTACCCTTTGTCCAGAACCCCCTTCTCCCAAGCATTTCTATGCCCCACTGTTTCTCCTCATTCTGGCCTCTAATTTCTGAGGCTCAGCATAGCCTCAAACTCCCACACCGACCCCAGTGTAAGGACCCCACTCCACCTTTCCCTAACACAGAGCTCAGTGCTGCCTAAGCTGGCTCTGCATATACACTCACTCACTGTGACCTGTGCAGCCCAGCCACAAGGCCAAGTCCCAGAGCCTCCATAGTAGGTGCTCAGTAAACCTCCAGTCACCCCTCCCAGGCCCCACAGTTAGGACATCCAGTGAGGGGATCATGACCACCCGGGCCAGAGCTTTTCTCTGGCTCCCTGGGCTCGCTGTCCAGCTGTCCAAGTGTAAAGCTGCATGGGGCAGCACCTGCAGGACCATCAAGCAGGCAGCAAGGGCCCATATCCCCAAAGAACCTGTACATGTGGCCGGTAATATTTTTGCCTTTGTGTGATGACAGCATTTGGCCCTTGCCTTATTAACTTGTAGGTGGGCATCAGCAGTGACAGCAACAGAGATGGCACGTGGACGCCCACCACAGAGGCCTCAGTGACAGTAACGATAGCAGCACTGATGGAGCGCTTACTGCGTGTGAGCACCGTGCTGGGACACCTGTGGGGTGTGCACCCCTCGTTCCCCACCAGCACAGAGAGGTCACCCCACTCAGTCTGTCCCACAGGCAGAGCTTAGACCTCAGCTCCCCGCTCCCACCACAAACCTGGGCTGTCCTCCAGTCTGGGTGTTAGGGGACTGGGATCTGGGTTTGTTTTACTGAAACTTTTTTCAAATTTCCTGGAATCTTGTTAAAAATGCAAGTCCTGAAGGTAGGTATGGTGGAGCATGCTTAGAATTCCAGCACTCTGGGAGGCTGAGGCAGGAAGATCCCAAATGTAAGCCCAGGCTTGGCAAACTAGTGATTACAAAGACCCTGTCTCAAATTTAAAAAAAAAAAAAAAAAAAAATAGAGCTGATGATATAGAAAAAAAGAAGGAGAAAAAGAAAAAAAGAGCAGGTTCTGATTCGAGAGATCTGTGGAAGGTTAGGCTGCATTTTTAATAAACTCCCAGCCAGGGTCTGAGCCGAGGGTCTGGCAGAGACCACCACTTTGTGGGGCCCAAGGCCTCACCGGGGAAGAGTGGCCCGGGAGCCGGCAACCTTCCTGCCACCTCTGTACCTGCAGCCGGGGGCCAACCTGGCCCCTCCAGCTCCGGTTTTTCTCCACACTCCTTCCTGCTGGTCCTGGGAATTCCCCGCAGGCGGACTGTCCTGCACCCAGAGACAGCACACAAAGCTGCTCATTGTGGCGATGTTTGTACCAACTGGAGCCACCTAAACATGCACCAGTGCGGGACTGTTAAGTACCCTGGAATCCGCGAGCCATTCCAAGCGACAGAGCAAAACTCAAAGCACACACGACTTTTGACCCAATGAGTCCACTTCTAGGAACACATCCCGAGGACACACTTGTGTGTGCAGCGACGGTTACACAAGGCTCTGTTGCAATGCGCAGTGGCGAAAGCCTGAGGGTCACCTAAGTGCCCGTCCATGGGGAGCCGATGTGTCAGTTCAGGGCCCATTTCCCCAAGGGAGGACCACGGCCTGCGGAGGGGTGGAGGGTTCTGCTCCCAAGCCACGGGGCACATGCCCCGGGTCCCCGCTGAGGCAGAAGGAGGGCGCAGAAGCACGTGATCGGCTGGGCTCTGCAGGGAAAGCACCAGGGACTCAGCTCACGGGAGAGTCCCCGAGCTCCATCTCCGGCACCACCTTGGAAGGAAGGGAGACAGGAGGGAAGGAAAAAGGAAGAGGAGAGAAAAGGGAAAGGGCAAGCAAAGGGAGTGAAAGCGCCTTACGCCTTTGCCCATCCACGCAGAGGGACACGTCTGCTGTGACGATCCCCAAACTGAAAAACGGAAGTAGCTGCTATTCACGCAGCTGTGCGTTAATTCTTCGCCTCCAGTCAGTGGGGTGAGACGGAGACCCTGGGACGACCCTCATTTCACAGAAGGGGAGACTGAGGCCCTAGGGATGACATCACCAATCCCAGGTCTCACAGCCGGGCAGGCAGGTCTGGGATTAGAGCCCCACCCTCAGGGCTAGCAAACTGAGTGGGTTCTACTTTGTGTTTTCAAACTGGGGGCACTGCTGGGAGTTGAAGCAATGCAACCCCCTCCCCACTCTCCTTTGAAACAACAGTGCCACATGCACCCCGACCCGCTGCCGCTGTGTCATGGTGGCAGCCCCTGCAGCTCCGGGCTGAGGGGCCCAGGAGGGTGGTTGGGAAGCAGTGTCTGCTGTGAGGCAAAGGCAGGGAAAATGTCCCAGAGAAAAGGACGCCACAGAGATGTGCCGCCAAATGCAGAGCCTAGCCCAGATCAGACTCTGGACCAGAAAAACAAACGAATAATAAGATAAAATAACAAAAACAATGATGAAGGACACTCTGGAGCAGCGCCGACTGTCCCAGGTGTGATCAGGGCACCAGGGACACATGGTGGCATGTCCGGGCGAAGGGCAGGGGCATCCGCACCTGGACATTCAGTGCCACCGAGGCAGAGAGAAACAGAGACCAAGAGAAGAAGCGTGTGAGAGGGCAAAGTGTCATCAGGTGACAACTGGGGT